TTGTGGGTGTGGTTTTGTAGTAATAACTGGAGCTGTAACGTGGGGTTGAGGACCACCAGGGAGGAGGTGAGTAGGGCGAATAGAAGCTTATTCCTCCATCATCACGGGATAAAGTGAACATCTTCCCCTTTAGATTGACTCCAGGGCCACCTACAGAGAGACGCACACAGATAAACACACACATGTGTAACAATTCCTCTATTTCAGGTTTCATCATGCAGTGTCCAGTTAGATAGTGCAGTCCCAGTTCCTCTTTTTGGATAAAATAGGGATCAAAAAGCGCTAGTTAACTCCACCTTAGTTGGACCTTAGTTGGTTGACTTTAGACATTCCACTATTAATGTCTGTCTTTCTCTTATAGATATTTCAGGAGGACTCCTTATGACTAATAATGTGATGTTTTTCCCCCTTTAAGTTTTAATTTATTTAAAAAAAGTTAGGCTTAGGGTTAAACTGAAAAAATAGTATGTTAAAAAAACAGACAGGCCAAATCCTGACCCATTTTTATGTCATTTCATGTTATCATGATTCATTAACAACTCACAAATGACCCCTTTGACGTTTCAGATGAGCTCAAATGACCTAAAACTAAGGCCGGGGAGAAGTTGGCAAATCACAGATTTGGGCAACTGTTCAAGTATTCAAAGCTTTCGGGACCAGCGGTAAAAACCTGATTGGTAACAAGAGAAGGAAGGCGCGATAATAGCCTTACACACGAAACACACCAACCTGCAGAAGGTTTGCACGACAAGGCCTCAGTTCCTTCAGACACCAGTTGTTACGCCGTTTTACCACCAGGGGGCGCGTTTCACAGACTCAGATTACGCTTTAAAGGGAGAAAGCCCCCCCCCCCACCTCCTGAACCATAAAGGACAGAGACAACAGCCTCTGAAGCTGCTGCTATTTTGAGTTTTGCAAGCTGTCCATCAGTTGACGTGCACGTGTTGATTTATATAAATACATATGACGCACCGCCCAAATAAAAAGTTTACGTGCTTAAAGTTTACAAAAATCCATATTTTGTCCACACAATCTGATTTTTTATGTAGCAACAAAAACAAATGATATATCATCACATCATAAATGAGACTATTAGAGAATATATGAGTATATATCGACAAATGAGTCGTTTCTCATCTCTGTTTCGAGTTTTTATAAGAATGAGGATAGCCATTATTGTTACTGCTCATTTTGTAGCTCGTATCTGTGTGCTTTAAATAAAACTTAAACAGATTATGTCTTTTTTTTAACTGATACAACTCAGGACGATGGATAAAATGAGAACTACAGGATGAGGATAAGTTGTAAAGCGGCTCACACTTTAAATAATCAGTTAAATCACTCTGATGATGTGGACTTGAAGCCGTTCAGCTTTTATTTTTACTTTATTTTGTGGTATTTCTCTGCACAGTAAAGGTTTCCTTCACCATAATCACAGCAGACGAATGGCTGTGTTTTAGCTTCATTAAGTTAACTTCCATTTAACCAGGAAATACTCAAAGCTCTGACCTGTTGTCGGTGGATAGTGTTCCTGGTTGGCTGGAGTTATTGTCATCACAGTAGGCACGCTGACCACCAGGGTCAGGAAGAGGAGCATCTTGCTTTCTAACTTCATCCTGCCCGGACTGCGACTCTCCGTTTGTCCTCTCTGCATCAGAGTGCCTGTCTGTCTACATTCCAGCTTGTTCACTTTCACTTCCTGCTTCAGCTGTAAGCCGGCCCTTTAAGTTTCATTTTTCCTCTGGTCTGGGCCTCTTTCTCTGCTTTCCCTCCAGTGTGTGTGTGTGTGTGTTTTAATCTTGCATAAAGACGACTTGCTGTTGATTTGTTGTTTGTATATTAGCTGTATTGTTTGTTTGTGTGTGTGTGTGTGAAAATTGGAGCCAGTTGATCTGATTTCATCCACCATGCAGCAGCGAACAGGGAGACGTTCACCTCATTTGAAGTGTGAGACAAAGCAGAGCAGAAGTGCGACCACTTTTGTGTATGTGTGTGAATGTTTGTGTGTTCTGTCTGTCTGGTCAAGAAGGCTTGTAAAGGGGAGGGTGGGGGTTGCTGGGTATTGTTTTGGGTTGTTTGCATACAGTTGTGCTACTAAATGTGCCATCTTCATACTTTGTACTCTGTATGTTATTGGTTTAAAAAATGTTCAATAAATAAAGTTGGAAAAAAAAAAAAAAAGATTGATTGAACAATAAAGTATAACTGAAAGAAAAAAAAAAAAAAAAGAAGTGCGACCACTTCTGTTCTGATCTGTCTCACTTCCACTTTGACCTGATAAAACAAGAAGAGGAACAAAGTTGCTTTGCATATTTTCATCTCAGACATGTAGTCAGAAGCAGTTATGTCAAATGCATATATGTCATATTTGGAAAAAGTCACAGTTGTTTGTTGATTTAAAAGAAGAATAGCTCTGTTTGTATTTGACCGGTTTCTTTGTGGTTATCTCTGTTTCTGGTCTTTTCTGTGGTTGATTTTTTAAATCTCTTTTCCAAAGTTGCTTAGATTTTTCAAAAACTGTATATCTTATTCTATTCTTTGCTTCATTACTCTGTTCCAGTCTTCTTTGGTATTTTGAGCTTAAAGTTTCTATTCATCAGTTATTTGGCTTCCAGCTCCACTGCACACATATCTCCTTACAAAAACCGGTTCAGTTTCATTCTGGAAAAGAATACTAATTGGCTTTTAGTCACACTCTTTAACACCAAAGGTGTTTGAAAAAGTGTTACATACTCAGATTGTGTGCCACATGACAAATCAGAAACAATTATAGGCCTGAGAAATGTGTTCCAAAGACAAAAAAATTCATGTTGTGTTTTTCTGAATCTCTGAGCTATTAATATTTGAGCAGCTTCGTGTTTTTTTTTTTTACTCCTGTGGAGAAATGTGTTTTTTTTTGTGGTTCAGCCTGATAAAATCAACATCAAACCATTCTGATTCACAGGCTATGGGAAAAAACTTCCTAACTTTCTATAGACTCTCTTTATAGACAAACAAAAAATCTATGTTTGTCTGTAAAAAGGTGAGACTATTGAGGTGAGAATAAGCCAAATAATACTTACTGTGACTCATTTTATTACAAATAGCTCTCATCAGCGCGGTGTGATTGTGTTGAAATAAATTGCCCTAAATTACTTTTATTAAAGTGTACATTTTAACTACCATTCAGTAATTCTTAACCTTTTTTAAAGCAGAATAAATGAAAATGTCACTCTGTTCAAGCAGAAGCGTATTTATATATTTCTTTATCTGTTAACAAGCTGTAAAAATGTTGCTGCCGGACTATAAAAACAAACCCAGAGACGTCACTCCTGCCAACAAGGAAGAAACAGAAAAACGCTTCCTGCTCCAGCCTGAACAGGAGGCTGGGATGCTCACCAAAAAATAACAGCTACATAGATTATACAACAATAAAAACAGCATTAAGAGCTCACAGAACAGAAGAGAAGTGACATAAACACAAGTACAACACAGGGAAAGTGAACACTCAAGTGTTTGGAAAAATAAATGAATGAATAAATAAATAAATAAATAAATAAATAATGAGGAAAACCAGGTTTGGACCTGGGAAACACATTGTCCCTTTAAATAGATTACAGTAGTGGTCTGAGGATGGCCTTAAAAACAAACCATACAAATCTAAAATCGAGTGTTTTTTTTTAAACAGTTAATTGACAGAACTTACAGAAGATCTATAACGAAATTATCAACAGTAATGATAACAACAAGTAGATAAATAATCTATTGACCAACGTCAACAAAATGTACAAAATTGTACATTCATTCCACTTTCCGTGAAATATTTAGCATCGAATTATTGTTTGATTACGATTATGTTAAATAACATATGAGTCTAAAATTAATATATAAATGAAAACATAGCCCCAAGCGGAAGTGGTGTCTGCGTCAGCCTTCCGGTGTTGGCGTAAACTCCGTCGAAGGTTCCACCGTGTACCGAGCTGACAGCGGCGGGGCTGACACCATGCAAACGCCGACAAAAACACGCGGCTGCGGCGCTATAAAACCACCGACACGGACACAGAACCGCGAAGATACCTGAGCTGCCTTCACCTGAAACATGGGCGTCATCTTATCAAGCCTTTTCTCCCGGTTCGTCTCTAAAATACCGGTCAGGATTTTAATGGGTGAGTCGTATTTACAGAACGTAACGTTGCTATGGTAACTACGTTCTTCTTCTGCTGTTATCTACTTTGTTAGCAGGTCAGACTTGCACTGTTAATATTTGAGATATTTTCTCTTATATAGTTGTTTTTATTGTCTGAAGGTGTCATATCTGATCATTTCTGATATATATATATATATATATATTAGTTGTTCATTTGGAAAGTATTTCGACTCCGAAGTGGCTGTACTTGAATCAATGCATGTGTTTGATTGGTCAAATTATGCTCATTTATATTCTTTATTCAGAGATTTACAGAAAAAAATCCTCCAAAATGTTTTCGAATGATGCCATTGACTTGTTTTATTTGATAAAAATAGTCTTAACCAAAAAATTTGTGGTAGCTGTGAGCTCTGTAGCACAAGTACTAAAAAACGGGACAAAAAGGTTTGTTTGTAATAGAGGAATGATTTTTCTAAAGATAATGGGACGATAATAGTAATATCATTAAACTTTGTTATTATTTTCTGAGTTTGAAAGGTTGGTTAGAGCCATATATTTGCATTGGACTTTAAAGGCCACTATTTCCAGGTATATATGATAATGAAGCAAGTCATTTATAATAATTGTTAATTAAAACAATTGACAGCAAAATGGAACTAAGTGCATTTGAATGCTGTAGTTATAATAATTTATAAAATGGTGTAACACTTAAGGCTTTTCTTGTGACTTATTTTAGTCCATCTCAAGTTTTCTAATGATTATTGCTGAAAATCACATCAGAATCTCATGACTTTCAGCCCACATTTACTTAAATCTGTGTTCACAAAGTGGTATTTCACAACTGAGTGTGTTGTAGGTTTCGATGAGCCCCGCTTCTCCCACACTGATGTGTGTGTGTGTCTGTGTGTGTTTGTGTCGCTGCAGTCGGCCTGGACGCTGCCGGTAAAACGACCCTCCTGTACAGGCTGAAGTTGGCCGAGGTGGTGACCACCATCCCCACCCTTGGTGAGTCGCCGTGACTGAAATAAACCCCAAAATCCCGTCATTTGGCGCGACCAACGCGCCTCCGTGTGTGCAGGCTTTAACGTGGAGACGGTGGAGTTTAAGAACATAAATTTTACCGTCTGGGATGTGGGTGGTCAGACCATCATCAGACCCTTATGGAGACATTATTACACAAACACAGACGTAAGACCCCAAACGCCGCCACCATCTGTGCCAGATGTCGGAGTAAATCGCAGTAAATCTAATATCTCAGAATCTAATATCTCATCTGTTATGTTTTCTGCAGGGTATTATTTTTGTGGTCGACAGCAACGACCCCGAGAGGATCAAAGAAGCTGCCGATGAGCTCCACCAGATGGTGAGGAAATGCTGCTCTTTAAGGGTGGTTCGAACCAGTTGAAATCCATCACAAAAGCTGAAAGAGCTGCTGCTTTTCCGAACCCTGGGTGGGACGGCGGTGTGCCGAGGTGTGTGTGACACGTTCGGACATGGCTCACCCGGTTTGTTTGTTCCTCAGCTGGAGGAAGAGGAGCTGCGGGGCGTGGCCGTCCTGGTGTTCGCTAACAAACAGGATCTGCCGAGAGCCATGTCCGTCAGTGATGTCACCGAGGCCCTGAGGCTATCGGGGGTGTCCCAGCCGGTAAGTGAGACCCTGGTAAGGGTCCTAAGTCTCTCTAGGAATTAACGCGTAGTTCAATGCAATTTGTTTTAGCTTCTAAGTCAGCCTTCAGTTTTTCGATGTGATGAACACTTCCTTTTTTGTGGAGCTGAATGCACTGAATTACATAATGTGTCCAAAGTCCATGCAGAGCAAACAAAACTCCAGACAGGACAATGGACAGCCGTTTCCATGGGAAACGGCAAGGCCATAAATAAAGCCAGCAACAATCCCAGTTAACGTCTCGTTCATCTTAAAGTCTGTTGTTTTACAAAACGGAAGCAGAGTTGTTTTTCCTCAGGCTGTGTTCCCCCAAAAAGCTTCTCCCTCTCTCAGAGTTTTGCTACACTTATCAGAGTCTGTGAGGCTTAGACGGGCGGTGGATGGATGTTTTTCCCTGATGGTGACCGTTGGTCTTGGCAGTGGCTGGTCCAGGGCTCCTGTGCGGTCAGCGGCACCGGTCTGGCTGAAGGCCTGGACTGGCTGTCCGACCAGATCCTCAAACTCCGGAGCCTTTGAACGCATCGCGCTGTCTTCTGTGTCAACAATCGGAGCAGCTGGATCCAAACGTTTGAGCTGTGAACCTCACAAACCTGTCAGACTCCACTCTGTGAGCCCCTATGCAGATCAGTTTCAGCTAATTCCAAACAAAAATGACAAGGATGTATTTTCGGAAGAATTTTGATGTTTATTTATTGCTGATGTTTTGGTTTTTAAAGGGTTGAAATCGGACTGATTGTGGCTTAAGGTAAACCATAAATATTTACAGCTTTATAGATCTGAAAAAATTTGAGGTCATTTTTTATGCTGCTGAGTGATATTTGAAATGTACAAAAAGATGATGCTAATAAATTTATAAGAGCTAAAACTATGCAGTCAATGTGCTTCTGAATTCATTTCTGAAAAAGAGTCACGACACCAAACGTCACCAGAACACCAGTAACTTTCTCGGACTCAGGCGGTTTGAGTTAGTGCTTTATTCAAATCACCGGAAAGCCTTTTATTAATCATGACACTGGAACATCAATCACTGAAACATATTTACAGCTCTACATCCCCCGTCCGGCCGTGGTTTCCTGCTTCAGTAAAGTGCAGCTTCACAAAACATGACTTCTTCACCAGGTCACGGCAAGAAAACGACTCTCCGAGAGAGCCAAAGAAAAATCCAAAAGAAATATCAGTAACTTTAGATTTAGGCCTTTAAAATAAATGCCTCTGCCCCTTTAACTCCCCAACAGAAGAAGAAGGGACCTGGTGGTCGGGATGCTGTGGCCTCTGACACCCGGACACGTCAAGTCTTTGAGAAAAAAGAATCTTAAGTCTCTGTTGTTCCTACATATGATCACCAGAAATCACTAAGAGAAGGCAAATGAATTCATAAAACCCACGGAAAACAGAAAAGGCCCCAAACGACGGCACACCTCTGGCAGATGAGTATTTGGCGGAACGGAGCAGATTTATGACCCCTGATCTCTCTTTATTACGTTTCACAATACTGAGCAAATAAAAAGTTCGTTAGGAGAGAAGCTCCAGCCCGAGCTTTCCTTAGGTAGCTAAGAGCTGAAAGACCAAAGGGGAGGACACTTGGAGAACTTGTGCTAGTTTTTCACTAAAAAGAGGACAAAGCTCCTCCCGCATGCCCTGAAAATCGACCCGGTCAGCGTGTGGTCATCCTCACTCAGAGCTTTCAGGCTATTGGCTGAACAGGAGATAAATGTGTTGAAACGTGTTGAAACTCAAACGTTTTGGAGTCAGAAAACATGAACGTGATGTTGAGCGTGTTGAGAGGCGTTTTTGAAAATAATACAGAAAAAAAATAACAAATGAAATGGGAAAAATCTGAAAATAGCTTATTTGCCCTCCTGCATCTCCTGGTGTGCTTTCAGAGTCAGAGCCGGGACTAAATCAGATTAAACAAAAAATATAATAATCAACCAGTCAAAAAACCTTTAGCTCACAATTCCCTCTTTGTTCTTATTCTCATTTAAACAATGTGGAAGAAGGTCTTCTGTCACAATAACGTTTTTTAAAACTCCTTATACTTATTCCATCCCTCTTTTTAAGCTAAGACTAAGTTGTTTTTTTAAAGGGGCAGTAACATCCTTACACTTGGCTTTTTTATTGAGCTGAAGTTAAAACAGGGTTCGATTTAGCCACCGGTGTTTTTCACAGCTGCTAAACGGCCTTCGAATCCCGAAGTAACAGAAAACTGTGATACACCTGCTCTCATTTTTGCTGCAACAGATTATTTTCACTCCAGGAGAAAAGAAAGTGCTCCTTCGGTTGAAATGTTCGGTTTGTTTCAGGAGTTCAGACAATTCCCAATGTTGTGGCTCGGAGCAGTCTGGAGGATTTTAGGCGGAAGCCTGCTGTTCCTCCTGCCTTTTCTCCACTTTTACTGGCTGTGCGCGATGCGTTTAAGGAACATCAGGAAATCGAACGCTCTCCTCCACTTTGGAAAGCATCAGAACTATTGTGTGAACTCCTTCCAGCTCCACAGCCTCGAGCTCTGTGACCTTTAAACTCTGACATATGCATATTTATCTTAGAGATTTTGCATCTGTACCAGATTTCAGTTCAGTCTCTGGAGGTATTCAATGACATGTTTGAAACCCTTTTGCTGAACTGTGTGACAGATCCTCTCAGGAGCTGCGATCTGTCCTTAAAAACGAGGCTCTCTGGCTCACGGCGTGGGCAAAATGTTCACTGCAAAACAGCAGCTCACATCTGGAGGGCCTTTGGAGCCTGACATGATCAAATCCACACCATCCGGACCATATTTCAGACTCCTTTATCCCATTTTTAACAAGTGAAGAGGAGAAGAAGTGGAGGGCCTCTGGCCAAAATAACTTCTCTTCTTCTTTGTGTTTAAAACTGCATTTTCTCTTTCGTTCCACGTGTCTTTAAAACGCTTCAGAAACTTGAACCTTCCATCCTGACAGTGAGCTCGTTATAAAATAAACATAAAAACAGAAACTTACAGGTTTGATCTAAAGTTATTTTTCTCTCAATAGCCGGTATAAAAGCAGCGTTATTTGCACGGGATAAAATGAGTCAAAAGCTTCTTCGCCGTCTCCGTTCCTCCTCGTAGTGAGGGTGCGTTGGGTTTATCCTCCACCGAGTCCAGCAGAGAGGAAACACGTTTTCCCGTCGCCCGGGGCGACCCGGCGGGGCGAGCGGTGTTTCCTTCCTGAGCAGCGGTCTCAAAAAAATAAACGCCCGCCGGGTCTGGCTCGTGGAACCGAAAACGTGCGTCCTCCGAGTGTGATTAGGCCTCGGACTCACCCCTCTTCTTGCCCTCCTCCCCGGCCTCGCTGTCCTCCGACTGGCTGCTGCTGAGCACCAGGAACTGTCCGTCGGGGGCGGGCGGGTTGGGGGGGCGGCTCGAGGCGGCGATCAGGCGGCTCTGCTCCTCCAGATCCTGATGGAAAATCGAACGGAAACGTGAGCATAGGCCTTCGAACCAGCCCCCCAAACCAATCAATCAATCGATCAATCGAGTTTATTTGTATAGCCCTTTACAATACCCAAATGGTACTCAAAGTGCTTTACAACAAAGCCATAAAACAATACAAAAAAACAAACAAAACATACAGAAACAACTAAAAGTGCTGTAGTGGTGCAGCGCTGCAAGGTAATTAAAAGCCTTCCAGAAGTGCGTAGAAAGGAGCACACAGAAGGAGGAAACCTAAGAGACCCTAGTCCGAATTAAATGCTAATTTAAAAAAGTGGGTCTTAAGCTTTTTTTTTTTTTTTAAAAAGGCTGAGGTCAGTAGTGGTGCGGATATCAGGGGGGTAGTTTGTTCCACAGTCTGGGAGCAGCGACGGCAAAAAAGAACGATCCCCCCACTGTTTTGAGTCTTGACCTGGGGGACCTCTAACAGAAGCTGACCCGAGGACCGCAAGGCTCTGCCACAACTGCGAAAAGTTAAAACCAGGCCCCCGAAACCAGGCCTTACCTTCTCTATCTGCTTCTGTTTGCTGAGCTCCTCCTGCTGTTTCTCTTTGGCCTTGTCCTCCTCCCTCCTCTTCTGCACGGCTTTCCGATCCTGCACAACAACAACAACAACAACGAGGGGGGGGGGGTAAAAAACATCCTCAACACGCCTGTGTGAGTTTTGCCCACCGGCCCCGGAGCCCCGACTCTGGTCTCACCATCTCGGAGTGGAAGGCGATCTGCTTGGCCAGACCGATGCTGTCGCAGATCTGGAAAAGCACGGAGCAAAACAATCTCAGAGGCCAAAAAATCGATTACACGAACCAAAAATAAGAGCTACGTCGAAACAAATGTGCATCTCCAGTCATGGTGTCACCCTCTGGAATACTTTAGCGGAGGAACATAAGTGTTGCAGAAACATAAGCAGGTTCAAAAAAAATATTTAAGCGGAATGTCCCGAGTAAATAACTGGAAGAGAGTGAGTGATGTTCTTATGAGGGTGGTGTGGTGTAGGGAGGGGGGTTATAGGGACGGAGAGCATAGGGCCAGTGTGTTGTCTTGTATGCGTGAGTGTGGATGTGTTGTTTGTCTTTGTTTTTGTTTTTTCTTTACAGGTCTTGGTGAGTGTCCCTGGGATGAGCGGGAGGGGATTGGACATGCATGAGCTTTGGCTTCTTCCATCCCCCTTTTCAAGCCATGCGTCTGTATTGTTTGTCACTGTGTATGTTCTGAAATGTGTATCAGGTTTGAAATAAACTTTTTGAATTGAAAATTGACCTTCTCTCCGTCGTTGTTGGACTCGAAGATGTAGCAGACGGCCCGGGCGCCGGCCGCCTGCAGCACGAAGCCGAACAGCCTCTTGTTGTCCTGGTGGGGCGAGGACTGGACCACGCTGGACAGAGGAAACTGCAGCCGGACGCGGGCCGCCGTCAGCACACGCCCGTCCAGACCAAAAATCACCCAGACCAGACGGGGAAAAAGCGTCTTACCCTGAGTCGAGTGACCTGAGTCTGGGGATCGATGAGCCTGAAAAATGAACAAACGTCGAGATGTTTATGTTTATGTTTATGCATTTGGCAGGCGCTTTTATCCAAAGCGACTTACAGAGTAGACACAATATTACATTTCTCATCACTATGACAATAAGCTATACAGAGGAGAAACACTGATCAGAGTCAAGAGATAGAGGTAGAGGGACCACAGAAGGAGTTGTGGGGGGGTAGAAGTACGGGTTAGGATTAAGATAGGAGATGCTCTTTGAAGAGGTGGGTCTTCAGATCTGAGAACATGGCCGCCACTTCAAATACCGACGCTAGATGGGATCTCTCCGGCCCGGTTCTTACTTCAGGCAGTCGCAGGTGACCAGCAGGTGCGACTCGGTCATCCTGAAGATGTTGTGGATGGCCCGGGCGGCCAGGATCTGCCTCATGGTCTCCGAGATGACGTCGGCCGTCTCGGCCGTCCTCACCTCCATGGAGCCCAGGAAGCGGACGATGAAGAGCTGGTGGAGGATGGAGTCTGAGGGGCGGGAGGCAGAAATCAGCGTAAAGCACAAAACGGCACGGTAAACTGGAAAGTGGTCGATGTCCACAAGCATGGGGAAAACAAGGTGTGCTAATCTGATAAAAAGTGAAAAGCAAACAAACTATTCCGACTTAAATTATCAGCAGAAATTTGATCCTCATATTTTCTGTGTGAAACTGCTTGTGGCGTTGTGTAATGTCCTCATTGGCAACACGTTTGATCTGATAGTTGATGGAGATAAGCACGTTCGGGCAAATGGAGCGAACCTTCACTGTCTTCAGCCGCGTTCTCTCCCGACTCCCCAAACGGATTACTCCGTCTGCAGACACAGACACAAAGAGACAAAGAAGACAAAAGGAGCTGAATTAAAAACTATGGACTCAGAGAAAGCAGAAACTATTTAGTCATATATTTACTCTACGAGGCCTTTCAAGGACTTCCTTATTTCTCCTTCATAAAATCGCCCCAATCAGGGCCATCCCCACTCAGTTATTTATTATTTCAGACTGCTGTAATTCTTTATGATTAGGCTCCCCCATTATTTCTCTAAAAAGCCTCCAGCTGATGCAAAATGCTCTGAAAACCTGAGAAAGACATATTTAGTTCATTTCAGTTCTCCGGTTTTAGCTCCTCTTTATTGAATTCCTTTTGAATTCAGAGTCGAAAGGTCAGCTCCTCACATCTGAAGCTCGGAATGAGCTGCTCCAGTCTTTCTCACTGTTGTGTATTTTCCAGCTTCAAACTGTCCTTTATGATGCATCCTGTAGTTAGTGATGGCTCAGAAACCCTGAAACCTGATCTGATGCTCTGTAGATTAAACTAAACTGAGCTATGCCTGAAAATCTGAACATAAAGCCCTGTGAGTCTTATTTTTCTTTCATCCTCAGAAAGGTCTAAACCACCAGGTGGCGCTGATCATGTTCTAAATCTAATCTTTCTAATCTTTCTGCTGCTCGGCTGAACTGGAGCCCGACCCACCTGCCGGCCGTTGCCGCCGCCTTGCTGTGGGCCGAGTTCTCCTCGCTGACGGGGGAGATGATGTCGAACTGGATGGGCGTGTCCGGGGCCACCAGGCAGTCCAGGGAGAGCACGGACAGAGCCGGCGAGGGCTCGGAGCCCACCGAGCTGATGCTGCTGGCCCGGCCCGTCCGCCCCTTACTGGGACGGGGGCAGAGGGAAAAAAAACATCACGGAGGCTGTTTGAGGCCGAGGATCTGCCTTTCCTGCAGAGGGGCGTGTCCTACCTGCTGGGCCTCATGCTCTCGTGCCTCTGCTGGAAGGACGGAGACGGCGTCACCGCCTCCAGGGCCGTCTGGTTCACTCTGGCCGCCAGCTCCTAACAACCACAGAGGGTCAGTTCTGCTGTCACACAGCTCAGATCTGTGCTGTGCAGATCTGAAAATGTCTGGTAACATGAATCCCAAGGAATGACTTAGAGAGCATCGCGGGGAATTTTGAGCCATTTTGTCTGGGGTTTTTGTGCAATTTGCTGACTTTTTCTGACTTTTTAATCAAAATTTGATCAGTTTTGGAGACTCTTCCAGGACAAGCACCAAAATCTCCATCAGTATCAGTATTCCTGGTCAAAATAATTTAAGATTTTGAGATTCAGAAGTTTGTTTTGCTTGCATTTTAACCTCTAGATCAGTTTTCTTCCATGACAAGCCCCACAATCTTCATCAGTATCAGTATTCCTCATCAGATGGTCAAAATAATTTAAGATTTTGAGATTCAGAAGTTTGTTTTGCATGCATTTTAACCTCCTATTTTGGGTTAAGAGGAACACATAAATATAATAAGGCGTCTTTCTCCTATAGCCTCACCAGAGGGCAGTAATTCTCAGTGTTTAAGTAGATCGGGCTCTTCCTCCACAGAGTTTGCTATTGAGGACGCAAACATCCATAAATGTGAGGTCCACATATGTTAACCCCAGTTTGGAACAATAACAATGTTGCTCACTGATTTGAACATTCGTTTTGTTTTTGCAAAGTGAGAGCTAGTTAGGAGTGGACTATCTGACCTCTGCGTTTTCACTGAGGTAGATCCTCTTGGAGATGTTGTTGATGGTCGCGATCCACTGTTGGAGGAAGCACAGAGAGGGACCCGGTGTGAGGGAGCAGCCACCTGAAAGCGGACTATCTGAGAGCAGAGCCCTTTACCTCCTCACAGTCCTTCCGGCTCTCCGCCTGCAGCGTCACCACTCTGAAAATAACCAGAAATCTCTGAAAACCTCACCAAAAAAAAAAGCGGATTCATTGGAGAAAATGGAGAGGAGTCTCACTTTTTGCCGTCGAAGGAAGTGACCTGAAAGCAGAATCTCCGGTCGTCACTGTCCACAGCCATGACGGAGCAGTTGTCCAGGTCAGTGACCAGCCCCCCCGCCACCTCCCCCCGGCCCTGCTGCATCAGGTTCCCTCCCTGCGTGAAGAAGTACTGGCGCTCCCACGACGACGACACCAGGCCCGTTTTACTGCAACAAACCAGCAGAGTCAGGTCATTTCTGCAGGACGGCGGAAACCCAAGTTTTACAGAAAGAGAAAACGAGAACCAAATACTGCAGAAACTCTACTTACGATTGCCTAAACATACAAATTTTCCAACATACGAAGTGAAATTTGATCAAATATTCGACTCGACACCTGAAGAAAATTTCCAGCCTACATCCAACTGTTGAAAAATATATATCATGTTCTCAGACGATGCTGTGCTTATAAAAATCTGAATTTATTTTTTAGCAGAGTGCCAATCTGGAGATCAGACACAGTCTTTTAACCTTGTAAAGCAAAATGTATCATATTTGATACATACGGTTTCTGAAATGTTTTGCCTCTGACACCTTTTGCATAATTTAATGGTAAAAAGTTTGCTCAAAGTCCTTTTGTACACAATCAGATACACCTGATAACAGGGGGCAGAAGATTACACAAAAAGTTATCTTGACTTATCGCGTAGTAATAAATTATTAATATTAAAAAAAAAAATCTCTTTTTCTTTTTACATATTTTGTTAAAAGGCCAAATAAGGAATTCAAACCAAAAAAAGTAATTTGCTGTTTTGTTTTATTCTTGGATCAGGCTTTAAAGGGTTAACTTGCTGATTCTCAGTCACAATCTTGTATTTTTGCCCGCCTGACAAAAGAGAAAAACATGCACGAGCCGCTTTGCTGTGAATTAGTCTGCATTACTGCACAGTTATGAGAAAATGGACATTTGAGAGGGGATGAGCGTACAGATGCACAAGTAATTGGATCCCTTATCACATTATCCGAATGTGGTAATGCAGTTTTAAGAAGCTCCATTATAGACTAGCATGTTTACAGACCCTTAAGAAGTCCTGTTATGGCCAACCTAACCCCCCCAAGTGAATACACTGACGCAAACACATCTCAGAGATGCTTTAAAAAGACCAATTCATACACACACACACAATGTGCTTTTGCTTCTTACTTGCGGATGTACAGGTAGCCCTGCTTCCTGGTCAGGCTGCGGCACACAGGTGAGTGAGCCGGGTCGGGGTCACACGGTGCGTACAGGGGGTCACATGACCTCTCCATCTGCTGGATGGTCTGCTGCATCTGCCCCACCTCCTCCTCCATCTCCCGACGCACACTGCACGCAATTGGAGACGTTCACCTGGGCAGCGGCTCACAAATTGGGCCAAACTAAGCAGCTTTGGGAGGCGAGTGGAGGCCGCCTTACTTCTGAACACTGGTGCCTATAGTTCCCAGGAAGTCCTCCCACTGCTGCGTGAGGTTTTCTGAGCCCAGCTTGAAGAAACTGATCTGTAAATCCGAAAACAAATAAAGGGGCATCAGCGAGGTGGCTTACAACTCTGAACTCAGTCAGGGAGACTTTAGAATCTAAATAAACGCAACAAATGCCTTTTTATTGAGAATTAACAATGACAATGATCTATTTTTTTTAGCACATAATTAGATTATTCATTGTTGTTGTGTAAAACTAGAGCTGTAAAATCTATTAAAGGCTACTCAATAGCATCAGTTAATGGCATCATATCTTTACTGTAAATGATATCTGATGACAGGAAAAAGATTAATGAATAGAAAAATTCGTTGCACATCATATATTTTACTGTAAACTCATCTTATGACATTAAATCAGAGTACTATAAATAACCTAAATCGTGTTTTATTGTTGCATGCTGCATTCTGAATGATGGAAAAATTATAAAGGAATC